AGCGCCACGCGTCTGACTCCCTCCTGTTACCCTTCCTCCTCCATGCCATCCCTGCCTCTGCCCTCCGCACCGATTACCCATTTCGGCAAACCCATCACACGTTTCGTGGCCTCATGCGGAGCTCCACTGAAAGCCCCAGTGGCTGCGTTCGCATGCGCCCGCCGCGCCCATGGTGGCGCGCCCCTCGCACGCTTCGTGGCCCCACAGGGAGCCCCCCCGAAAACCCAAATGACTGCGTGCGCATGCGCCCGCCGCACCCATGTCGGCACACCCCTCACACGCTTCGTGGCCCCATGATGAGTTCCACCGACGGCCCCAGCGGCTGCATTCGCATGCGCCCGCCGCACTCATGTCAGCACACCCCTCACACGCGTCGTGGCCCCATAGGGAGCTCCACCGAAGGCCCCAGTTGCTGCGTTCGCATGCGCCCGCCGCCACCCATTCCAGCGCACCCCTCGCATGCTTCGCGGCCCTATGGTGAGCTCCACCGACGGCCCCAGCGGCTGCATTCGCATGCGCCCGCCGCACCCATGTCGGCGCACCCCTCGCACGTTCCCTGGCCCCATGGGGAGCTCCACCGAAGACCCAAGTGGCCGCGTTCGCGTGCGCCCGCCGCGCCCTTTCCAGTACATTCATCAAGCGTTTGGCCACCTAGGGAGCTACACCGACGACGAATCTCAAAACTGAGCTACCCACAACTGCATCTCGTTGGGTCCTTCGCTGGGCGTTTGTTTGACAGGGACGGCTGGAGGGGGCCCATCAATCCTGATGTGCGCACGGCCACCACCCCTGTCAAATTAACCTGGCGAGAGACCCAACCATTTGCAGTTGTGAGCAACGCTACTGTAAGCATCGTCTTCGGTGGAGTTCTCTATGTGGCCATGAAAATCGAGGGGGGGGGGGGGGGGCGAGGCGAAATTGGTGCCGGGGACGCATGCGGACGGTGGGGCCCCCTGTGAGGCCACGATACGTGTGTGGGGTGAGCCGAGATGGGTGGCGGGAGCGCGTGTGGGGTGCCGATGGGACCTTCGGTGGAGCTCCCTGTCAGGCAAAGAAACGTGCGCGGGGTGTGCCGCAGTGGGTGGCGGGGACGCGTGCGGACGCTACCGCTGGAACCTTCAATGGAGCTCCTTATGGGGCCACGAAACGTGCACGGAGGGTGCCAAAAGAGTTCCCTACGGGGCCACGGAACGTGTGAGGGGTGAACCGAGATGGGTGGCGGGGACGCATGAGGACGGTGCCACCGGGGACCTTCGGTCGAGCTGTGGGGCCACGAGGCGTGTGGGGTGTGCCGAAGGGTGGCGGGGACGCAGGCGACTGCTGGGCGTGCCGACCTGGGTGGTGGGGACGCAGGCGAACGGTGCCACGGGGACCTTCGGCCGGGCTCTTGCTGGGGCCACGAAACGCGTGAGGGGTGTGCCCGAGTCCAAGTGGGGACGCATGCGGACGGTGCCACTGGGACCTTCGGTGAAGCTCTCGATGGGGCCACGAAGCGTGTGAGGGGTGTGCCGAATTCGGCGGGAGGGGGGCGCATGCGAGCTGCGCTATGGGGACTTTAGGTGGAACGTGAGCGGTATGCCGAAATGAGCGGCGGGGGCGCACGCGGATGGTGCCACTGGGACCTTGGGGCCACGAAACGTGTGAGGGGTGTGCCGAGTTGGGTGGCGGAGACGCATGTGGACGATGCCACTGGGGCCTTCGATGGAGCTCCATATTGGGCCGCGAAACGTGTGAGGGGTGAGCCGAGTTGGTTGGCGGGGACGCATGCGGACGGTGCCACACAACTTTCGGTGGAGTTCCTTATGGGACCAGGACTTGTGTGAGGCGTATACCGAAAATGTGTAATGCGGGCGCATGCGAAAGCAGCCACTGGGACCTTCGGCGGGGCTCACCATGGTGCCACGAAAAGTGGGGGGGGGTGCGCCGAAATGGGTGGCGGTACGCATGCGGACGGTGCGCTGGGATGTTCGGTGGAGCCCCCATATGAGAGGCACGAAACGTGTGAGGGATGTGCCGACTTGGGTGGCGGGGACACATGCGGACGGGGCCACTGGGACATTCGGTGGAGCCCCCTGATGGGGCCACGAAACGTCTAAGGAGCGTGCCAAAATTTGCGGCGGGGACGCACGCAGGCGGTGCCATTGGGACTTTCGGTGGAGCTCCCTACGGGGCCACTAAACGTGTGAGGGTTGTGCCGAAATCAATGGCGGGGACGCGTGTTGACGGTGCCGTTGGCACCTTCGGTGGATCTCCGTGTAAGGCCACCAAACGTGTGAGGGGTGTGCCGAAACGGTTGGCATGCGGGGGTCCGAGGCAATGATTGGAAGAGGAAGGAGGGAGCGGGAGCAGGTGGGAGGGGCGCGGGGCGCTGTCTCTTCAAAACGAGGCCCAACACCACAGGATGGCTGGGAAGCAACACACAATACAACACACACTTCCCGGCTAAATCTGGACCACGCGCGGCCACCCCGCCATCACTATCCATGAATTGTTGACAAGGACGGCGGGGGTGCTGGCATATTGCCTGCTGCGCGCAAGCCCAGCAGACACCATGATGGCTGTCCCGCCGCGATTATGTTTCAGTTTTCAACAAGTATGGTGGGAGCCGACACGTTCCCCAATGTGTACTGTCAGGTGCGCGGGCGCACCTGGCACACTCTGCGCGTGCCCCGCATGTGGCGCTGGCGCGGCTGGACCATGCGGCCGACATGGCGCATGTGGAGCACGTGGCGCATTTGGCATCCCAGGCGTGCCTGGCACCCTTGGGCCCCAGGGGGCCCAGGGGTGCCTGGCGCACCTGGCGCACGAGGCACGCGTGGCGCAAATCGCACCAGTGTCGCGCACACGGGGTCTATGCTGATTTCCAGTAGCTGCCCATCCATAGACGACCGCTGAGCATGCTGAGCCTCGGGTGCTACTTATGTGCTGGGAGGGCGGGTGGGAGTGAGCGAGACAGCTTGCGGGCGGGGAGGGTGTCTTGACCCCGCCCCCACCCCCTACCCCTGGACCTTTTTTGTTTGGGCGGGGGCGCGGGTTTGGAGCGCCCAAAACGACCTCGGCGAGGAGGCGAAAATCCACGATGCCACCTACATGTTGGTTTCCTGGAAGGGGGGGGGGGGGGGGGCAACATGGGCGTTCCCCTCCTTTGAATGATCTCTTCCAAGATGGCCCAAAGATGGCCAGAGGCTCCGAGGGGCGCTCCAAGAGCGCCCCAAGCGCCAAGGAGACCCCAAGAGGACGTCCCAGAAGCTGCGCGCTGGCACGATTGAGACTTGTAGGGGGGTCGCAGTCACGTTAACTCGCGGCGCTGGCGGTCCATGAATCTCGTTTTGGCACGAGTTACGATCGCCAGGTCGCAGCAATCGCATTGATTCGCGGCGTTGCCGTGCTAAGAATGGCCGCAGAGAAAATGTCGGTGAATGAATGGCCACCTTTTCTCCTCTCGCCGAAAAGTGATGGAGCCAAAACAATTGCGCACAGGAACAAACGATACACAGCAAACGACATGCTCGCATCATGCACGCAACACGATAACATTTACTGCCACACGTCTGCACTCCTCCTAAAGCGAAGGTTGAAGCCGGATCTTCAGGCCAGCTTTCTGTGTAGCTTGCTCCAGCCTTCGCGAAACTCGAAGGCCCATGCTCACCATGTGTTTGCGCGATACATGTGAAGGCACGCACTCAGTCAGCATGTCAATGTCATTTTTACTGGCTGCCACCTTAATTATCTGAATCCGACGCCTAGCGACCGCGTCTTGGACCCAAAGAAATTTGCCCTGCGCGTGCTTAGCAGTCCAAACGCAGGTGCCAATTTACTGAAGCACCCCGGGTTGAAGAGCTCACTAATCGCTAAAGACTGCAACTCAATCGGCATCTCGATCTGGTTCTCCAAAGATCCCACGTCCCTGGGTCCAGAAGCAGGCGCAGAAGGCCCAGCACTCGGAACAGCTGAAGAGCTCGAAGCCGCACCCGCCAAATCACCTCTGCCCTCGATCTCCTCGACCCGAGCTCTGACTCTCGATGGAGTTCCCGGGCCGGTCGGCGAAGACGCTGGCGCCTTCGGGGCAGGCTCGCCATCAGCACTTCGCACGCCAAGACGTCGTGGTACATCATCTCCTGCTCGAATGACTGCCTGCGACCTCTCGGTCTCCATCGCTACGAGCCCAGTAGAGGATGCTTCAGCTCCTCCCCCCCCTCCACCTGCTGTTCCAGGTGGCGCGTCAGGTACTGCCTCACGTCGAACTCCAGATGGCTCAGCAGCCGCAGCCGCAGGCCCCGCATCCTGGCCCGCTAAACGAGCCCTCTCCGTCACGAAGTCAATGGCCTTCTCGCCCCCTAAGTTCGCCAACTCTTCAAGTACCCGCGCCCTGCACTCCGCCGCGCGACTGAGACCCCCAGCTCCAAGTTGACCCCGCACACGTAACACCCCACAACAGCTGCAGCCCGCAGCGTAGCCAACCTTCGCCAGGATGGCTTTCGCCACATAGAAGTCCCTGATGACCGGGACTCTCGCCTGAAGGGGCGGCGCTGGAGGCGGCTGAACGCCGACGGGCACCACCACGGGTACATCAGCTCCAGCAGGCGCAGGCACATCAGCAACAGCTCGCTCTCCACATCCTCGTTGCCACGTCCAAGGCTCACCCTGCAGCTCAAAGACGTCAGGGCCGCACTTCCACCTCTCCACCGGATCGCGTCGCGTGATTCCAGTAGCTCTCTGCACGCCGCCCTTCGTGATCAGCAGCGCCGCCCCACTTCGACTCGAATGTCCGAAGTAGATACCGCCCAGAAACCTCGACTCCAAGTCTCTCTTCTTCTGATCCACCACCAGCTTCCTGCCCATGACGCGCTCTCCATAGGCCACGCTCACACGCCCCCACTTCCGCCCGGTGCGAAGCTCTTCTCCCGCACGACCATCAGTCCCAACACGGAATCGATTGATAACTGAAGCGGCATGCCTGATGGCCCAGAGCGCGAGGGGATGCGCAAAAGGAGGTCGCTTACCCCATCTAGACTGCAACGCCAAGAGTAGCGTGCGGACCTGGCCCCTGATGATCTTCACCGCGTTCTCTATCTGGCCGTCCGCTGCGCGATCACCAACCGGCGATTCCTCTAAGATGATGTCTTTGCCCTCGCACTTGTCGACGACCGCCTGCTTGAGAGACAACATCGCCTCCTCGCCATCAGACCTGAGCACCCACCTCTCGTGGCCCAAATAGTCCAGGAAGTCGCTGCACGCCCTGACCACGAACTCGCCAGTGCTCTCGCTGGGCAGCGCGATCGCTCCATAGCAGCGTGTCTTACGACAGTGCATCGCCAAGATAGTGATCCTCCTCTGCCTGTCGCCCTGGATGGAGTCCGCCTCTGAGCTGTTCAGGTACCCAAAGTCCATGGACACAACTGGGATCTCCACCCCCTGATCACGAGGAACCAAACGGCGAGGTTGTCCGCAAGAACGCCCATCACAGCAAGCTGAACACCAAGCCCATCGCGTCGATCTCCCTCTGCAATGGCGCCGATGGTGACCTTGGCGCTCTCACTCTCGGTGGCCTCGCCTCCTCCTGAGCCGGCGGCGGCATCGCCTCCGGCCTCGCTGGCCCTGCGGCCCCTGCCTGAAATCCCCCGGCGGCCGGGGTGTCAGGCGCCAGAACGGCCGGGCATGCGGGTTGACCTGCCGGCGGCCCCCCGGCTGGGAACCTCCGGCGCGCTCGGCAGCGCGCGCAGCCAGCTCGCTCTCGATCGCGAAGACAGGCTTGACTGAAGAACTGCTCGTAGATCTTGGAATCGTCGCTGCCGCATCCGGGCCCACCTCGAGGTGCATGTTGCACGCGCCCTCCCCTTGCCAAAGTCCAAAGCCGCCGCCAGGATGATCACGCCGAAGACGATGCATGAACTGTCGAAGCCGTCGCCCAGGTACCGTATCTTCACCGTAAATCAGACCTCCATCCTTGTCCATGTAGCCTATCTTGTCATTCAGCATCCTCGAGGCGGACGCAAGCGGCTTGGTGGCTGCGGCGCGTCGAGCTCGAAATCGAGCCTCTCGATGATTCTCGGCGCAACCCTTGATCTCGCCAACACCCTCGTCATCAAGAATATGTCCGTTGGCTGTCCGATGCCGACGCCCACTCGGCTTACCGCCCGCTGCGCACCATGAGCTTGAAATGACTGCTCCGGCAGCCCCTGAATCGAAGTTACCCTTACCCAATCGTCAGAGTCGACGACGCAGATGGGCGGGGCAAACGCACACGACTCCAGTCCTCCAGCTTCCTCGGGCCCTGGCTGCCCTTGTCCTCCTCGCGCGTCGCCCTCGCAGTTGCTGCGAGTCTCAGCTGCCCCATCCTTCATCGACTTGATTCACGTCTTTCTTCCCATATCCAATACCTTTAGGCTTGCCTCGATATGTGCCTCCTTTGGGGTCGCCCTTCGGGTTGCTCTTCTGCCAGCAGTTGTCCGACTTGTGTCCTTTCTTGCCGCAGTTCCAGCACACTGGTCCATCTCCCTTCTTGCCCTTCGCATCTCTTTACCTGTGCCACCTCCGCGTCCTTTTACCTCTGGGCTGGTTTCCGCCTTTGTGGTCGCCCTTGCCCCCGCGATATTGGAGTTAACCAACATCCATGTCATCTGCTCCTCGCCGACGCTGTCCTCCTCCTCCTGAACCTCCCGTGATGGCCGGATCCCTGACTCGCACGCCCGTCCGCTGCTCAATGCACTGGGCGACCTCGGCCCTGAGGGAGTGATAGCCCACAAATCTCAAGTGATTCATTTGAACGCGCTTGGAGAGGTCGTCTGGAAGAAGAGACTCAAGCGCCGACATTCGGATGTCTTCAGGGAGGCGCTCTCGCTGGCCGTCACGTCCACATCGTCGCTCGCACCTAGCCAAGAGCTCCTCCAGCGCGGAGCCGAGCTCGTTAGCGGACGCCTGGCCGTGCTGCAGCACGTTCTTCAGCATCGCCCTCTTGCGGCCTCCCGTCGCCGGATCGTACCTCTTGCGAAGCTTCCTCCAGCATTCGAGACCACTGTTCGATGCCACGTTGCTCACAATGTCGAAGGGCTCCCCGGTGCAAAACTGCTGCAGAGCTGCGAAGATCTGCGCATTGAAGGTCATGATGTCGTCCACTGGCTCCTCTGCTAAGTCATCAAAAGAACTCGAAACCGCTTCTAAAGAAATCGGATCTGGACGCTCAACTGCCCACTCGAGAACCTCTCGTATCTTGTCCCCGTAGACCGAAACCACGAACGCCTCAAACACTCTCTGAACTTGTTTTCATCGCCTCCGAATCCAAATTAATTTCCCATCCCACGGTTGTCAACCAGCGTGGAAATCTGACCTCTCTTGTCAAAGGCGCGGCTCAACGTGTCGATCAAACTCGGAAACTGCTCCATGCCTCGCTGACGCTCGAGTCGAAGCCTCGCATTCTTTGCCTCAAAGTTGTTGACCTGCGTCGAGAGCTGTCTCTGCGCCGCTGTCAACTGTTGAATATGTTATGTCATCTGCTCTGGC